CTCTATATTCTTCAAAGCAGGCTTTCAAGCAATTCCTCTGAGAATAACTGTAACTTGTATTATGTGTTCTTACACAGCACACACAATCACACCACTAGACCCCAGGGACAGATTGAAAAATATCCCATTTAACTTTTTATGCCTTTTTCTCTCAGCAACTTGAGCACTCACTTCCACATCTACTTCTTACAAGAATGTAATTATCCTTTTCTGTCTGAAGACCTTAGTTTAAAAGGAAACAATCTTCTTAAGCGGCAACTATGTGCTTCCTGTATGATGCATCCACTGTGCTAAGCATTGTCTATGAGTTTGAGTGGATGAACAATGACAGAAGAAAGTTTTTCAGCATGAATATCTTGAATTCAATTGAAGTAACTGAGAAATAACTGGATTTAAAAGTGTAGAAAAGATGATCCGGCAGATCTGGCTTAGAACATGGAATCACACGCATCCGCGCTCTCCCCAGAGTCCCTATTTGGCAGTGTAGTGAACCTGGCAAAATCACTTCACTTCTCTGTGCTTAGCATTTCCCATCAGTGTCCTGTAGTTGTTTTGAACATCAGCTGACGTATTCCAGTTGACGTGTTCAGCACAGCATCAGACATACACTCACAACCAAATAAGTGTTGGTGGTGGTTATTTTTATTAGGCTGCAATTCCTGCATTAGAGACTTGAAGCTCATGTAGCTCATAGCATGATTTTGAGAAGGAATCTGTCCGAGCAAAAATGACCATGACACCTTGTCCAAGGTGTTCAAAACGTGGCCATGGAAAGCAGAGTGTTTTGCCAACTTTTGCCAAGTAACCTGACATGTTGTACTCATTAAATGTCTCTTGACTATGCCAATGTATTCCAGATGATATTGAGAACAACTGACAGATAGGTTACATATGTGATCAAGATTATATATTCTCATCCGGAGGAACATTTCTGTCCTCACTTTCCCACTGGTGATCTCACTTTTCACTTGATTTTTTTAAATATCCACTTAATTTGGACTTTTAAATTTCTACTAAGCAATTATCTCAATGTTGTTCTCTTTTACGTATGGTTAGTTCTGAGTAGAGGATTTTTTTAAAACCTTGATATTACCCTTTTGGCAGCAGCTCTGCTAGATTTTTATCTATGATACACTTGATGTAATACATCTGTAACCTAATAAAAAGTAAAAAAGGAGCTGGTACTAAAATTCAGATCTTCTGACTCATCAGTCATGGAGTTAAAACAAAATATGTACCAGGCACTGTGCTAAGCTCTCTATATATAATGGTGAACAAAAATTGTTCTTGAATTATTGGCATTTAAGTTCAATGGTAGAGTGAAATGTAAGAGAGCAAGTAAATAAATAAATTTAAACTTTGCTAAGTGCCATAGAGACTTCAGAACTTTCTAATATAAACACTGAGTTAAGTTGAACAAAGACATTTGCATAACAAAAGCATCAATGCTTTAACACACTAAATAACTGACTGTTCTTTATTCATTGAGAAGTTTTAAGATAGAACCAATTATACATGTACCTGGATGGGGGATGCTTTCTCTGAAAAAAGTTTCTCTTTTTAAAATGTATTTTTCTTAAGTAGAAGTGGATATGCCTAGTACAGTGTAACTGATTCATGACTGAATCAAGAGAAAAGAAATTAGCCTTTATATTAGAATCCCAGTTGCTCAGTAAGGTATTTTGCAAACATAATGCCAAACTGCATTATAGTGATGGTATGAGGTTTATTTATTTTTTTATTTTAAAGAGAAAAAATAAAAATGACACAATTTTAAAACAAGATGATAGGAAATTAACAATGGTCACCCTCTGAAGCTTTAACAACTTCCAGTATATGAGGAAGGAGGTCCATATTCTTTCTTCATTATTTTAGCATCACTCCTCTGTGATGAGTGAAACTCATTCTTAGAGAAGTGGGTTATTTTGTGTAACATTTGAAAGCATTTGCTGGTTACAAACACTCTAGCAAAGAACATCGTAAGATAAATTTTGGAAACTCTATGCCACAATCTTAGCTAACTGAGATCTTTTACCATGTGCTGGGGGTCATGACAACTTTCTCACCTGACATCAGGTGATATGAATTCTAATGACAGTTCCTAGATTTTTTTTCTACAGGATTACAAATGACCTATTTGAAGTGATCTTTATAAAATGTGTGCTATGCTCCTTAGCAGTAAGAGACAGTACTGCAAACTTCTATACCCTAATAATTGGTTAGTCTACCTAAAGTAACGTACTTCTTTTCTGGACCATATATTGAGTAATCAGTGATGCAGCCCAATAAAAGCTTTCCAGTTGGTATGATGAACAGATATTTACTTACCTACATTTTTTGTACAGCCTATTTTTAAAAACTTTATCATGGAAAGTGATACAATCTCTCTTCATAAGCCATTTTCTTGGTTTTAGTCAATGTCAAATTTGTTTTTGACATGACAGATTTTTAAAGGCAAAATATAAGCAATAAAGCCAGTGCACCCCAATGTTAAAAATCAGTGACTCTAAGCAAAGGATATATAAATGTTACCTATACTCTTCATGAAAATTTGTTGTCGTTTCCCTTTCTTTAAATAAAAATTTGGGGGCTGGGGATTTAGCTCAGCGGCAAAAGCGCCTGCCTGGCAAGCGCAAGGTCGTGAGTTCGGTTCCTGGTACCGGAGAAAAACCAAAAAAATAAATAAATAAATAAATAAATAAATAAATAAATAAATAAAAATTTGGGGTAGGGAGATCTTGTCCTTACTGAACTTCATGAACAACACACAGAAATTTCATGAAAGAAATTCAAAAAATTATCAGTTTTCAAAAAGATACTATAGCTTTGAAATAGAAATAGTGATTTCACCCAGGAACTAGAAATGCAAACTTATAGCTAACAACTAGTAACAATAGTAACACTAGTAACACTAGTAACACCAGTGAAAATTCATTGTGATCATTTGCAGAAGGTCCCCTTGGGGAAGCAATGGCTGCAGAGGCCTCATCGTGGCTCCATAGCTACTCAGGGACCCAGCAGCCTGTGTGTAGGAGCCTTTGTTTTCTTTCCAGCAGGATACACTGGGAACTGTTCACCATATGGATTCCCAGAAGCAAACTGATGGAGAGAAAACTCCCCCATGTGCTCTAAAGCAACCCTGTTGAGGATTCATTCAGGTGCCAGGTGGAGGCCACGGGAAGGTGTACGTGTGCCATCTGTACTCCACAGTGGGTTTGCCCCTCCACCAGCCACCTCCTTTTCTTTTTACTAAAGATCATTTATTAATTCATATAGTCAATCAATTATTTTGACTCTTTGCTTATGTGTAAGTCACAAGTAGGACTTGCTCCATAAAGTTAGGAAGATACAGCTTATGGCCCTGTGGTGCTTGGACAGCCTTCAGCAGAAAGTGCAGAGATTTTCAGCCATGACTATACATTAAAATCAACTAGGAAACTTCACAAAAACATGGATGCTTGGGAACTGACTAAATCACACTCTGATTTAATAGGCATGGGGTGGGGTATCTGTAATTTTAGAAAGCTCCTTAGGTAAATCTGGTGAGTGGCTGGTGATAAGACCCGCTGAAACAAGTGTAAGCATATTCAATTCAGTTCCTTTATTGACACAAATACTACTTGAGCCCAGTGACACCCTCAGTCATTACGACTACAAGATTGAAATACAGTTTGGAGACAGATGATCAAGGTAAAACGAGGTCAATAGTAGGGACCCTAATTTAATATGACTGATGTCCTCATAAGAAAAGGAAATTTGGACACAGATGCACACAAAAGGAAGACAATATGAAGAGACGGAGGGAAAAGATGGCCATTTACAAACCAAGAACCCTGGAATGAATTATTCCTCACAGTCCTTGGAAGGCACCAACCCTACAATAGCTTGATATTGGACTTCCAGCCTCCAGAACTATGGGGCAATAAATTTCTGTTGTTTTAGCCACACAATTTGTGGTACTGTTGCACTATTCTAAAAAATGCACTATTCTATGTCATAATATTTACCATAATTTATAATTACATGGACATTCATTTAATGTTTCCCTCTTTCACCAGATGATAATCTTCAAAGGCCAGGAACTGTATCTGTGTTTGTTAATTTATTTACCATTACCACCAAGTATTGCACTATACCACACCAAGAGAGGCCTGGAACTCACCAAAAGTAGAAAGGAAATTACACTATCAAGAACCAGTGTTGACTGGTCTACAGCAGTTATGGGCAAACTACAAACCTCAACTTAATCAGGCCTACTTTCTGTTACATAAGATATGTGAGATAAGAATGGTTTTCACATTTTTAAATGGTTACTTTAAAAAGAAAAATATTTAATGACATGAGAACATAATGTTAAATTTGTTTTACAGTTTGTAAATAAAATTTCATTGCAACACAGCCATGCTCGTTTACATATCGTCTACAGATGCCTTCATTCCACAAAGGGGTGTCCCATAGTTGAGACAGAGACCACATTGCCTGAAATATTTACTATCTGGCCATTTATAGAAAAAGAAGTCTGCTGAACACTGGTCTAGAACATGCTTTATAAGCCTTGTGGACCACCCAGGGGTACACAAATGGGAGGGCACATAGTGTTACAGGTGCATATCTCAGCACATTTACTATGTGGGACATCATTATGATATAAACTCACCAGTACATTCACTTTTTCTCAACCCAAAAAATCGTAACAGACCACTGGGTACTCTTCTCCCTACAGGCACACAGCTCTGCTTTTATTAATAAGATTCATAAACAAAAGAGATTTGTGAATTAAACATTTTCAATTTACATGGAATTTTTATTGAATGCATGTGTTCTGATAAATGAAAGAGTTTAAACATAAATGCAATAGGTGATGATCCTTATAGATACTTATTCACATTTGCTGTCCAAAATGAACCCTGCAGTATTACAAAAGCCAATTTTTAGATATGGATCTAGATAGTAAATATGGGTTGACTTAGATCCTATTCACACAAAGAAGCACTATTTACCTTTGATGGAGGAACAAACTGAACACATTCCAGCCATATGGTTAAAAAGAATTTTCCACATATTGCACAGTTTTTTCCCTTAGAGATTATGTTCTTGACCTCTGGAAACTGTTCTATGGCATGCATTAGAAAAGGATTCTGTCCAGCTAGCTGATTCATGACAAATCTTGATGTTATTTCCTAAATTAAAAAAGAATATTGTTCCTAAAACTAGTTTCAAGATCTTATATTACATTGATTTTAATTTTACTCATACGATTATTTACCTTCTTCTTTACTGTATTAAACTAATATATCTATCGATATCCATATATATATATAGATATAAATATATTTGTGCTGCAACACATAACTATGTGGCAAATGGTTGGCATTGTAAATAAATTTTTCATTAATATCAGAAAGTAAGGGATTTCCATTGTAACATATTTATGTTTCTTGGACATAAGAATTCAAATCATAATAAATTTGTATTATCTATTTTATAAAATTAGATATAGATTAGATATAGTTTAGATATATAAATTAGATATATTAGATATATATAATATATATAATAGATATATTATATATTATATATAATATATTATATATAATAGATATATTATATATAATAGATATATTAGATATAGTTTAGATATATAAAATTAGATATAGTTTCAAATTTGGCACATTTCATTACAATAAACTAAGACTATACACTCAAATTGGACTCAAAAAATTAAATTTGTCATGTTCACTAAGGTCTAAATTCTATATATTTAAATGGGTTCACAAACCAGTAGAATCCAGGTTGCCTGGGAAGCTTATCAGGAATGCAGAATCCCAGATGCCCCCCACCACTGACTTAAATCCTCGACAAGGCCTTCAAGCAATCTATCTGTATGCACAGACAGTTGAAGAACGGCTGGTCTAAATCATTAGCTGCCTTTAATACCTGATTAACTCCATCTTATTGAAGAGCAATAAATTCAACTTGTGTTAGATCTAGCCACACTGATGTTCAGAAAATTGACTCTGCATAATAATATAGTACTAAATAATGAAAAAGGTACTGAGGAAAAGGAACCACCTTTTACCAGAACCTTCATCTTAAAATTGTGTGTGTGTGTGTGTGTATGAATCAAGTCTTCATGGACCAAGCAAAGAAAACAAACATTTGTCTTACTCCATAAATGTCTCTCATTGTTGATACCAGTAGCATGGGAGTCCTATATAAATGTTACACAAATACTGCTTGAAATTTTAATAGTGCATGGGGATCGTTTATTTCCCATTAGTATTAAAATAGTTCACATCAGGTTCTGATCAGAATTTTGGGGAATTATACACACATAGACAGACAGCTGTAATCTTTCACTTATTCATGCCAATTAAAATATTTTTCAAAATTCAAATAACAACAAAATTCTATAAATGGCTACATCCTTGTTCCCTACTCCCCTCCCCTTTCTAGTTAACAAGAACATGGCAAAGCTGCCTTCATACAACAGCCTTGAGTATGTTTTCCTAAATGTCTGGCCCTAGTCTCTTAAGCATTTTCTTCTAGATGGCTATCTGACTGGGGTCCATGAAACAGATGCAGCTGAGAGCACCAGTGCCATCAGCACTGCTAAATCAGTTGTTTATCGTCGCCCTTCCTTTCACTACTTAAACAGAGCATAACTTGTGACCCTAAACAAAACATTCACTGTAGAGCAAAGTGATTAGCTGAATTTAGAGGCTAGGTCTCATCACAAAGCTGTGGAAAACTCAGAGAAGGAATCATTCTCCTAAATAGGACATAGAAGAACTCGCTGAAAGATATAGCACCTATACATAGTTTCATACACGTTATTTTTCCATTTGTGATTCCTGTACCCAAACACGTTTCTGGCACCCAGTATATCTCTGACATCCTACATCAGCCATTATTTATATTTCTCTACTGGCTGCCAAGGTGTTACTTTGGGATAATAATGCATACCATTACAATATAAAGCAAATTTATCACTTGAACAAATATCTACAAAGGAAGACATTACTAACCTGAACAGTAATATATTTTAGGACACCTCTTATAGATAAAGTTCAATGTACTTTTTGAACATATACAATTTAATGGTGCTATATAGGCACACAAAATTAATTCTCCCAGGCCTTATAGTTTCAAAAATCCTATTCACCAACTCCCTACAAGAAATATAATCATTATGTACTTCAAACATATACTAATAAAAAATAAAATAAATTTTAAAATGTGCTGGGGATGTAGTTCAGCGCTGAGTTCATTCCTTATTAATGGAAAAAAAATTACAAGACAGAAATATTGGTCTGGCACTGCAAGTGTTGCCAATATTCACGCCCTTCGGAGCTCTCCGAAAGACTGCCTTCACCGTGATTTAACTACGCATCCAGTCTCATCCAGAAGCCACATCCCCCAGCCAGGATTATCCTATGTCTATTTCCCTTACCTCCCTTCATTCACATTTAGAAGCAATATTGCAGCATGGATTTGAAGCCCAACTGCTTAAGTTGGTGTCACTGTCCCAGGAATATTGCTGTGTGACCCTGAACCAGTTATTTAATCTCTCTGGGGCTGTTTCTATGCCTATTTTTAAAAGGGACAGTAATCGAATCTGCCTGTTTAGGGTTAATAAAGAACAACATGAATTAAGTGTAAATATTAGCCCCTTATTCATAATAAGTTTAAAATAAAAGTTATTATCATTATTCTGAAATTCTTGATGTAAAGGAAAATTAGTTCTGAAGGACTAAACAAATTAAATATTTCAGTTTTTTAATGATTTACAGTTGAATTTCAAGAGTATTTTTTCAATATGAGTAGGAAATAATGAGGTACGTGAGAATATTCTCCTAATAGAAATTTAAACAGAGCTCATCTGTGAAAGAAGCCAGCTCTTTGGCCTACAAAGAGCTAATTTCCATACTGCCAATGAATTTGGGTTACAGTAATCATTTGCTAGCCTGGCCACAGTGCTTTCAAAGAAAACTCTAGAATTTAAGCCATACCCTTAGTTTGAATACTTAGGTGAATGAGCTAAACTTTTACCTTTAGACTCCAAATGTCCTCCCGTTGATTAGCTATAAATGGCTGCTTCAGGATGAGTGGGTTTTCCTCGCAGTAGAATTCCCTCAGCTTCAGATTCTGAAACTTTTAAAACAAAACAACTTTAATGTACAATAAAACAATAAGCCAAATCTCTAAAACTATATCTTCAATACAATTAGAATAAAATTACTTTGCTTGAGACTTTAACATTCTACATTAATATCTTTAACATTCTACATTAATATCTTAATTCATTAATATCTTATCTCTAGTCTTTAGAAGCATAAGAATTATAATACTGGAATAAAGGTGCCTGATTCTAAAGGTCATATCCTTAGCACTGAACAGTTGAGAAAACTTGGTTTAGGATCACAGAATTGGTACTAGAACAAGGTATATTACATAAAATGATATGAGCATTTTGTTTTATATACATTAGAAAACCTTAACGTGATGAAAAATACTCCAGAACACACCATACTCCAAATCTGAAAGATTATCCATATATATACAAAGAGAAAGTGAAACACAGAAACATCCAGTGTTCTCATTATAACTTCATTATAATTATACACAATGAAAATAAAAGGATATGAAGGAAGAGAAGAAGAGAGGAAGAGAAGAACGTACAGCTCACAGTAGTCTTCTGTGACGAAAATCCAAACCCTCATAGAGCCTCACTTCAGTAGAAAACTAAGATATTTATATTATTATGCTTTCCAAGAACCGATATGGTTTTTTAAGTTAAACTAATTTAAAGGTCTATTTCTCTGAGCCTAAATATCTGCTATAAAATAGGGACATTAAGAACCTATCTTCGGGGCTTGGGATTTAGCTCAGCGGCACAGTGCCTGCCTGGCAAGCGCGAGGTCATGAGTTCGATTTCCGGTACCGGAAAAAAAAAAAAAAAAAGAACCTATCTTCAGCGGTAATGGTGGTAAACCAGTTCCCTGGGAGAAAGACAGAAAGAGAGGGAGGAAGGAAGGAAGGGACGGAGAAAAGGAAGAGGAAGGAAGGAAGGGACGGAGAAAAGGAAGGGGAAGGAAGGAAGGGGAGAAAAGGAGGGAGAGGAGGAGGGGGTTGCCCTGATAAAGGGGTGTATGTTGATTCCATGGCATATTTACTACGACAAGTTAATGCAAGTCATTAAGCACAAAGTTGGAAAGACATTTGCAAAATCAACTCTTGTGAGCCAGGATGAGCTGGCTCTATCACACCACATCACACAAAATTTATGGGAGAATTAGAGATTTCTGGGGTTTCAACCCAAGATTTGAAAGCTAGTAACCACGTAACAAATTAAAAATAATAGATTTAAAATATCTTTCTGGGGAATCATGCCGCTAGGTTTTAAAAGTTACAGGAAAGCTTGTACAACACAAGAATGCTAAATAAAATACAGAGCTCACACTCAGTCCTGGTCTCACAAGATATTCTAACTTCTGAATTCAGTTTCCTATGTTACCATCTCTAGGATAAAACCTAGAGAGTTAAATCCAGTATCAGCCATAAGTCTGTTAAGTGTGCTAAACTTAAAAGGGACATTTCTTGCGCTTATTAATGCTCTATATAACCATCACTTTTCCTTTTCTGTCCTAATGAGTATCATTCTATAATCGGTGGATACATCATAGTCTTTTAGAAAAACTCAAATGTGAACATCTTGTTATAAAAATATCAATATTATGCAAAACTTATTTCAAGTTTGACCACAGATCAAAGGATACGCAGTTGTCTTCAGAGTCATATTTCTCTTCCTTTGGGTCCTGTCACTATCCCACCATCAAAAATGGTGAAAGTTCTGCAGATTGCTATCCCATGATGCACAACAGATCAGAAAGAAGTTATCTCAATGGAAAAAAACTCAATAGTATCTTCCACCAGGTAAGTTTCAACAAACTAAAGTCACACAATGCCTCAATGTCTACTCTTATTATGCCCCTGGAGTACCCACTCAAATATCTTCTTTTTTTATACACTGCTTGGTTTCCTGTCAGCTTAGTTTGTAAAGAGAACAAAATTCTTCACTGTTATGGTCACTGCAGTAGTAAAATCAGCTACATTCTTCTCTGATCACAAGATGTTGCTAGAGCTTTTCAGAATCTTAATGCCAGGGCTGGGGATTTAGCTCAGCAGCACAGCGCCTGCCTGGCAAGCGTGAGGTCGTGAGTTCAATTCCCGGTACTGGGGAAAAAAAAAAAAAAAAAAAAAAAGAATCTTAATGCCAGGTCAAACCAGATCAGTGAGTTTATTCTGAATTGCAACAATTTTGCACACCCCAGACTCCTGCTCCGCAGAAGTTTGTGGTTGTCACAATGGTAGGGTGAGTACGACAGCACATAGGACAGCCCCCAATGGCCCAGCCTGCACACTGGCCCCCAGCCAGCTCCACACCTGTGGATTCTGCCCCTTGGCCACAGTCACTCACCAACTCCAAACAGCTCTGCACTTTTCCCCTCACAGGGGTCAGCAGAGGTGTCAATCACCCAAGCTTATGGTGGATGAGGCCAAAGCCCAGAGAGAGAAGGTAAGCCTGAGGGTCAGCAGATCCAGGGAGAAATTATGGACCTGGCCAGCAGTGCTAGCCCCAAGAAAATCCCACAGCTATCGTAAACTACAGAAACAGCGTGGGTTTTATGCCAAAAATGACTCCTTCATGCTACATTAGAGTTAGAAATGAAACCCAACGCAGCACCCACCATGCTGTGAGAGTGTCTGATTGGACACCATTGCAGGAAGAAATTGTTTAAGACTGAGCCACAGAACAATTATAGAACAACCATCACCCACATCAGCTCTTTCACTATGCCCTGTCAATTGACTCTCCCTAGAACTTGTCGAATTCACCCTTTCTTTCCATCCCCCCCAGTCCATTCTCCATCTCTCTGTACAGCCTCCTCTTCCCTGTCCCAGCACTCTGCAACCCAGTCTGGACAGAGCCTTCTGTTATATAAGTGATTGCATTAATACTCTGGCCTCAGTGCAAGCTTACATTCCTTAGGTGGTCTTTTTAAATGAAAATATATTCATAATGTAACCTTGGTTAAAATATTTCATGGTCTCATTTTGTCCAGCTACTGAATTCAAATGTCTTCATATGTCATACTTGGCTCTCCTGAGCCTACTTTTCCAACATATGATCTGATACTCCCACCAGTAAAGAGGCATTTAGAGATCTCACAGAAGCCTGTGTCTTATCTCACAGTTATTATTCATGCCTCACCCTTTTAATCACTGCAAATCTGGACCTTTTCTTCACAACTAAAATATCACACACACACACACACACACACACACCTTTTCCGGCCTCTACCAAGTATTTCCTGTCTCCTCATTTGGCTTTGTGTATAAATTAATCAATCACATTTCCTATAAATAGCCAGGACAAACATTCTTGAGAAGTCTGTCTCCATCTGTCAGGGTTTGGTGATAATAAGAACTCTTTAGGTGACTACATAAGGCACACTTCACATTCAGTATCATGTGCAGAGTTGATGCTCAATAAATGACTGATAATTAAATGAACATATCATAAACTCCAGGTACAGCTCTTCTTGGGTTCTAAAGGCTGTCAAAGATTTTCCTTTCTAGCCTTGGTAAATCGATACCACTATCCCTACAAAGCCTCGTGCCTCAGAAACAAAAGCAATCCCAGCAAGTCCTCGCTCTGCTTCCGACTAGCCTAAAGTTATGGGGGAGGTCAACAGTGAGAGAGTTGAGAGAAAGCATTTTTCATATAAACAGAGGAAAAGGAGGCCGAGACCTCATATGGACTTAAGCATAGAATTGATGTTACATCAAGTTATGGCGCCCTCTTCAGGCCATCTGGATGTTCACTGGGTTACCCTCCAGTGAGAATTTAAGATTTCTAAGGAGGCTAATTGAGTTTCAAAAGGAAGATAAGATTTAAGTACCAGGGCCATGACACCCCAGAGTAGATTTAATTAATTCTCAACATGTATAGGAATAAGATTTGCAGCCAGTGGGAAATTAAAGACACTGATAAACACGATATCTAGCCAGAATCGTGGAATGATTTAGATGATGACATCATCTGAATATAAAACTGTCAAGAAATCTGTACTGGGAAATCTTCTGTCCTATACCTGCATTAGTAAGAGAAAAAAAAGGCAGAAAGTGAGTCGTAGTCATTATTGTGCAGCCTCTGCCAGATATTTCTTCCATAAGAAGCTTCTCAGAGGAGGCTAAAAAGAGGCTAAGAGGGTAGAAGATAACTGTACTCATACATTTGAAGTACACACACACACACGCACACACACACACGCACACACACACACCACTGTCCTCACTTTGGCCAAGAATAAGCAGCTGAGGTCCCCAAGCCGAGACCCTTCCTTGCCTTCAACACCAAGAGTCTTGAAGCCGAAGAGACAGTTTCTCTACACCCATTTCAGTCCTCTTGACTTAAAACCTCAGTGTAGAAAGAATGGCCTGGAGGGGCTCCATTGTATCACTTCGCAAACCTGGTCCTAGCCCATTTTTTGATTCCACTTCCACCTGCAAGCTACCTAAAAACTAGTGCCCGAAAGAGGCCTATGCTTTCGGTCTGTCCTGTCCGTGCCACTCCCAACAGCGCGATCTCTTTACAGTATAGGTCAGATCACATGACTATCCTGCTCAAAACCATTCAGTAGTTTTTCACCTCCTGCAAAATTAAATGTAAGTTATTCACTCTGGCTTTCAGAGCTCTGTTACCATTTGGGCCCTGTTTGTACTTTCTCTTTGACTTTTCTCTCTCTCTCTCTCTCTCTCTCTCTCTCTCTCTCTCTCTCTCTCTCACACACACACACACACACACACACACACACACACACACACGAGTAGCATTGGCCTTCTTCAGCATTCTCTATTCTGGCACCTTTGCATTTCCCTCTTTTTGGATCCTTTAGACTCAGATTTTTCCCTACTTCTAGAGTCAGAATATAATGGAATAAGATTTTCTTGTGGTTTGCAAGGGGAAATACTTATGACTATAAAACCTAAAACACATACATGAACATGCAAAGGTAAGAGGAAGGTCTTCATATGTCTATGAGATACATCTTAGCCAAGGAAAATTACTCAAGACACATAACAGCTGAAAGACAGTAACAAAATACAAGAATTTAAAGGATGCATTAGTTTTGCCTGTCAAAAAAGCAAAGAATAAAAATTAGAATATCCACTGTTCCACTGCAAAACAAGATTAGGAAATCTCTTTAGAAACAAATTTGCAAGGTCATTAAAAGGCCTGAAAATTATCCCTGACTCTAATTATTCTAGGAATTTATCCAAAAGAAATGTTTTGTTTTTTGTTGTTTTTATTGTTTGGTTTTCTGAGCCAGGGTCTTGCTATGTAACTCAGTATGTAGCCCTGGATGGCCTTGAGTTCAGGACAAGCCTCCTGCCTCAGCCTCTGGAGTACTGGGATTATAAGAATATACCAGCACACCCAGCAAAATGAATGCTTCAAATGGGAACAAATATTTATGAATAAAATATATCTCTTAGTTATTTTTAAAATTGTAAAAGTCTTTTTCTGTATTAACAAATATATGATGAATTATGCTGCTTACCTGAATCCTCTGGCCCTCTGCTTAATTATTCCAGTTGTACTCAAAATTTATCCTCAGTCATCCCTGCTATCAACTTTCCCTGCCTCTGCACCTGACCAAACTAGTGGTGTTTGCTGAGTCGGCCCTCAAGGCAGACAGGATTCACTATCAACTCATCACCAACTTCCAGTCTGCCCTCAGGGGGCGCTGACAATTCTACTGCAGCCAACATGCTCTCCTAAGAACATTTTCTTTACTGACTCACAATTCTTTATCCAACAGTAGAACAGTTCTCTTTTCACATTCTCATTTCACTTCATCTTTACCTGAAGGAGTTCTATTCATATCAATGACTCTCTGTGCTGACGACTGGTACCAGGCTCTATGGCCAACTGCGTATTCAAAATCTTCACCTGGATGCCTTAAACACACATCCAAGTCACTTGGCCAAAGATTTTGCTCATGATCTGCCTTCCTAATCTAGGTCTTTTTCTTGTGTTTTCCATCTTAGCTCACAGAAAGCTTACTAATTCATCCCCTTTTCCAAATTTACACCTTAAACATATAATGAACTTGTTTTGGTCTTTGCACACCTCCTGCTCCCACCTTTGACCAAATTACCACCTCTCTTGGCTTCAGCAAAAATCTACCAGAATTTCACTCCCTCTGTGCCCTCTGGTCTCCATCTAATATATCTGCCACACTTCAGAGGGAATGACCTTTACAAAATACAAATCTAACTATGTTACCACATATCTGAAACCCTCTGAGATTTCTACTTTCTTTATAATAAAGGTCAAATCCTTAGCACACCCTATATTCTTCTGGCACAGCCCCTTTCACCCACTGTCTGAGTTCTAGTATCCTGAATTCTTTTCAGTATGAACACCCATACCTCCCATCTTAGGGCCTGTCCACATATTATTCATTCTGTCTAGAAGTCATCTACCCGCTTCATCCAGTCCATTATTACTCATTCTTCAGATCTTGGTTTGTGTCACCTCTTCCAGGAAGCCTTTCCTAACCAGTCTAGTCAGGCTTCTGTTATCTCTTGTGGACACATGTCCTTTTGTTTTGGTGTACTAATTTTAGTTCATGATTATACACCATGATGTTAATTATTTGGTTAATATCTATTTCCCCAATACACTGCAACTCAGAGAAAACAGAGCCCAAGGCCGGTTTCCTCACCAATATATCTCCAATTCCCAGTGCAGAGCTTAGTATATAGGATAAAATGTATGGATTTCTGATGACAAACTTCATAGTTGCCCTTTCTTAAATTCCAGGTCCATAGAACTAGCTATGAGAGGTGAACCACACTACCAGACTTCTTTTAAGTAAAATAATAATGATAATTATAGGCTCCTCATCTGATAAGTGGAGGTAACAAATGATATAATCTACATAAAGTACATAGTACGCCTACAATAGAGTAAACAAGTAATATATTATCGTAGCAGGTAGTCAATGACAAATTTTAATCATTAATGATTTAAACACACTGTCATAGTCACTTTTTCCCACAATTTAAAGTAGGAGAGGTTTGTTTGGGCTCACGTTTTGGTCCAGGTTTGGCTGGCTCTAAAGCATCAGCAGCATGGCAGAGAGGCCTGGTGAAGGACGGCTGCTCAGAGCACAGTGGACAGAAAGCAGAGAGCATCAAGGGAGGAGCTGGGAAAGGAGATATAACCCTCCCTGTCACACCCACAGGGACCCGCCTCTTCTGACCAAGCCCACCTCCTAACTGCAAGTCAGCAATAGTGCCCCTATAATTCAATCACTTCGCAGAGGTCCCAGCCATGACTGCATGAGGCTGCAGGGGGACGTCAAGATATAAGCCATAACATTCTACCTTTGTCCCCCCACAGACTCATACATATGTCTTTTTGCAAGTTACACTTAATTAATTTCTAAGAGTTGCCAAAACCGTAACTGTTCTAGCATTGCTGAAAGTCCAAGTCCAAAGTCT